CAAATTTCTGTTTATTATTATGTCCGACCAAGATTGGCGTATTTATATGAAGACTTAACATCTAATTAGAGACCGTCAAATATAACATGTTACAAATAGAATTACGAGAACATCTCTTTGTCTTATCAAAGAAAACTATGCTCAAACGCAATTTACAGATGTATTCAAGCGCGTTTACATTAATGGGTCATATTTTTATACGTTTCAATGATCAAATGTGGTCGAATTGGAGCGTGTTTTATTCTCTGGGTGAACATAGATGCGTTTGAACACATTTTGAAGTAAAGACAAAATAAAATAATTATCGAAAGTCTAGCAGATTTGGATTTTTTTTGATGATTAGATATTCATCTTTTATCATTCAGAAGTTCTTAGTTTTATTCTTATATTAAATATTTTTGCTTTCTAAAGAAATTGAATATAAATTAAAATGATCAAAAGATTTTCTATTCGAGAATATAAAATAAGTTTGTTAAAACAATAGATTTCTCATTAATATATTGAACTATTTTTTTTCAAAGAAATCAATTTATTATTTTTTGATAAAAATTGAGATCTTGTTTATTGCTTCAAGTATTTAGATTTATAACTAAATGTAGTACTTTCTAGTCTCACTCATCGTACAATTTGTACGTGTATAAATATGAAATAAATTTCTAATTTGAATGCTTCGTGTGGATGGGTATGGTCCAGGGCTGCCAAACCTCCTGATTTAGTCAGGAGTCTCCTGGTTTTTTGACCCTTCTCATGGTTTCTGAATTTTCTTTTAATTTCAACTTTTAACGATACCTTTAATCTATAAAATGAGATAATAGAAAGGGAGAAAAGAAAGCGAAGAACAGGAATATCACATTATTTGATAAATGTAATAACCAATAAAAAAACATGTTAATCTTCTTCTTAGTTATGTAATAAAACTAAAAAATAATTTAATTCTTACAAATGATTTATACTGCAAAAACTTATATATTGTAGATAAAAGGAGAGAATACCTTAAACATTCCTCAAAATCTCTTCGTTAGAAGATGCTGAAATCATTGAAATAACGAATTCATCGAAAGAAAATGTCATGCCGTAAGCTGAATCTAGTCCATTAAAAATAATTTTACACTTTGTGCTTGATTTCGAAATAAACGATGAAATGAGACATACTTATCATTATTTTTTTTCATATATTGTATTACATAGAAAAATGTGCCACAATAACTTATTAGAAGAAAACTTTCATCTTTTGTATAGAAGAAAAATTCAATTTCTTTCAAAACAACAAACAAAACTTTTTTAATTTTAATTAAAAATCTCCTGGTTTATTCTCCTGGTTTCAAGCAAGGACCTCCTGGGCAATCCCTAGTTTTTTTTCGATGAACTCCTGGTTTTCTAAATTTGGATTTGGCAGCCCTGAATGTGATGATACATCAGATCTAATCAATATACTTGAAATCAATATATTTATATCTTTATGGCGTGATGAACAACAATGTATTAATGAGGATGAATGTGAATATTATATTCATCTCACATCCGCCTTTAATAATATGCGATGCTCTATAAATATATGGAAAAAAAGAATTTTCACTTGCAGATAATATTAGATTTATATTATTCTGCAACAGAAAAATTCTATTCGTCATTATCTGTAGTTTTTCAACTATAATAAATATTGTTATTTAAAAAAGTTAAAATTGCTTTTTTTGTGACACTTCCCGTAAATAAACGAAAACTCCTGATCCAAATCAAAACATGTGTACGCAAAATGACAACTTTGAATGAGTATATCGAGAAAATAAGAAAGAAAACTCTCGAAGAACTAGAGCAATGTTTCGTTTGGCATCGCATTAATGATTTTTCGCACCGATAGTTCTTGATTTTATCTATTTATATATTTTTTTTTTCATGATTTCATAGATGAGCACAACTACTCTCCCAGTTAATTGTCATGATTAATGCCATTGGTTAGAAAAATAATCTTCCGCACCGATACTTTTTCACTTTATATATATATATATATATGTCTTTCTTCTTCTTTCCTTTTTTATCATTTCAACGATGAACACAACAACGTTCTCAGTTTCTCTATTAAAAGATTCTAATACTTCAATCATAATTAATCAATCATGGTTTATTCCTTTCGATAGTCTATTACTTGTGTGTCTTATTCTAGCCTTTCTAATGTCTTTATTATTTTTCTTTATTGTTTTAACCGATAAAACATGTCATACAGTTCCTATCATGCTTGTTACTTACTCCTGTTTTGCTAATTTTTCATTAACGATTATTTTAATTTGGATGACAATTATTACTCTTCAAAATGATCTTCAACAAATTTATTATCAAGATCCATTTTGTATTTTTCGAGGTTATATGACTTATGTAACGTTCTTTTGGTTATTTTATTCTTATTTTTTACAAGCAATATATAGTTATATAACAGTTATTTATCCAACTCGTTTATTTTGGCAATCAAAGAAATTTCAATTTTTTCTCATTATATTAATATGCATAATTGGTTTTATTGGTGCATGTCCAAGTATAGTTACCGGTGAAATAAAATATCTTATTGATGATCAATTATGTGAAATGCCATTTCATTTGTCGATTGCAACAGTTTATAATGTAATTTATGTTTATTTAATACCAATAAATGGTATTATGTTTATTTATTTCAAATTAATTCTATATGTTAGAGAAATGAATAAACGTGTTACATCAGCAAATACATTGCTACGTGCACAAAGAGAATTAAAAATGGTTTTTCGAATAGTTATACTTATATCAGTTTTATTAATACTTAGTGTACCTTATACAATATTTCTTTTTATGGGATTTTTCACTTCACCACCAAAATATTATTTGCGTATTGCTGCAATATTTGTCGAGTCATCATTATTATCTGTCATGATTGTTATATTTAAATTCACTGATCCAGTTCGAGCGTCAATTATGAAAAAACTACATCAACGATCAAATGTAGTCGCACCAACAATGACATGAATTATTTCATTTTTTCTAAATTATTACATCCGATGAAGGATAAAGGTGATCTATTTATATGAAGAGTTATTTTCTAATTCGAGGCTGTCAAATACAAAAATTTTCAAATACAAGCACGAGAAAATTTATTCCGTGTTGCTGATTTAAACATTCTATTTATGTCCTTTAGACATGTTTTCTTTACTTCTCATATAAATATGAAACGCAATTTCTGGTTACACTCAAGCGCGTTTATATTGATGTGTCATCTTTTTATACGTTTGAATGATCAAACGTAGTCGAATTGAAACATGTTTTATTATTTGGATGAATATAGATGCGTTTGGATAGATTTTGAAGTAAAAATAAAATAAAATAATTATCGAAAGTGTAGTGAATTTAGATTTTTTTTGATGATTAAATGTGATTTATCAACCTTTCAATGAAATTCAGAAGTTCTTACTTTTATTTTTATATTCGATTCTTTTTCTTTCTGGTTGTTAAAATAACAGATAGTAACATTAAGAAATATAATTATGAAAAAGTATTTCTTATTAATATATTGAACTGTTCGTTTTTCAAGGAAATTAATTTACCATATTTTGGTAAAACTCGAGATCTTGTTCATTGTTTCAAGTATTTAGAGTTACAACTAAATGTAATACTTTCTAGTCTCACTTATCGTACAATTTGTACGTGTATACAAATAAAATAAATGTCTGATTCGAATACCTCGTGTGAATGGGTGTGATCGAATGTCTTATACATAGACACACTCTTAAGTCAACTACAACGTTAGACATGATCTAGTAAGCTTTCGTATGCATAGTAAAAATGGGTCGATTCTTCTTCTTGTGCATTCCCATTTTTTATCGATCTTTCCCTCAACTGATGTCGATTAGGTACTATCCGATAATTTCAATTCTTCCAACAGCATTTATCACATAGTTTGAAGCTCGTAACTTGGATTTTTCACCAACTAAACGATTTGAAATCGTTCTGATTTTGTAGTGTAGATAAGGCAGCCATCGATATACCTTTAGAAAAAAAATAATAAAAAACTGAAAAGAAGTGGGCGGTTCTCTTAAAAATATAATAACGCCTGCTACCGCTTCAATATATCACACGATGCTTTATTCTTTCTTCAATTACATTTTTTTTGTATTTATCAGAGAAAAGATTAGAACGATTAGAAGTAATGGAGAGAATATTAAATTTCCAATTATTGATACGTGAATAAATACATCTGTTATATTTCAATTATATTGACTTAAGATATCATATCTATATTTTAGAAAGAAAAGCACACATTTTTTTTAACAAAATCATTTGAGTTTAGAATCAACTATGAGTAAATTTAGAATATACTGCTATATTACTGTCACCAGTTTCAGGTAAATAATATCGATTTTTATCATTTATCTTCTTAATGTTTTCAACGATTTTTATATTTTAGCCCTACAGGTTTGCTTTCTATTCTATTTTATATGTGTTTTTTTATAAGTTTATTACTTTCATAGTTAAATTACAACTTCACATATGTGAGAAAATCGCTCAATATAGTGAATGTTCGACGAATAGTGCATGTGGTTGTTTTCATAGGATAGGTACAAATGAGGTCACAGACATTTGTGGTTTTCTCTGGCCAACATGTTCTCAACTTGTAC